TACTATTTTCACTTTTGAATACCAGAGAAAACAATTATAAGGAATCTATTTTTTGATGTGTAACACTGAATTGTATTATTTTAATCTTTTTTTTGTATTGCAGTTTAAATTTAGGGATTTTTAAACACAGTGCCACATTCTTATGTCCTCTCTTTGCTTTTTCAAATTTTGATAATGGTCTTGCCAGGTTGCGTGAATCCACACTAAGTTTCTGAGGCTGAATTTAAACTTCTGAAACTACTCAGCTTCCCAATTTGCTTGGATTACAATCATGGACCATCTTGCCCAGTTTACAGTGCATTTTTTTTACCTATTTATGTATGCAATATGTCTTTATAACTGAATATTTCTGTATATGTTAACACTCATGTATTGCATTGTGACATTAAAAGACATATATCACAGTATTCCACTTGATTAAATATTTTATGCAACAGTAAAACCTACTATTGAGTAAATAACACTCTAGCATCTCTTAATACTTTTACACATTTTAATCAAACTTAATGTGCAGTACAATTTGCATAATCAAATCATTGTAATTTATTTTCTGGTTTTTTTTCATGGTGAAATTACAATTTATAGGAAGGGCATAGATAAATATTGTAAAATAAGCCCCAGATTTTCACATCTATATTTACAAATTTTAACATTTTAACTTTTTAACATTTTAACATTTCATAATGATTTGAATAGACTGAATTTCCACAACCTTAAAGGTAGCTCTTGCAAGAGAGAAGTGCTTTACCTTTCTTGTGTGTGCATAATGCACTTCTAGACTTCAGCTTCATTGGAAACATTGCATTTTTATGTGAATAAGGTAAATGATCAGTGTTTTCATATACATTAGTTAATTCTGACATCACTGTTATTCTATAGGCAGTATTATTTTAGGGCAGGAATCAGAGAAATGGATGTGGAGTCAAGGTTGAGTGAGGTCATATTCTTATGAAAAAATAATAAGCTATGTTTCATAGTCTTATTTTCTGTGAACCAAGTGGTAAGAGGTAAACTGAGAAGGTTTTATGTAAAGATTAACTTTCTTATCATAAAATTTTGGCTTACCAACTAAAATAGGGCAAAGGCTTTTTATGCATGGAATCCATTCAAAAATCATATTAAATATCATTCACAATAGTATTAATATTATATATAATTTATTTAGAACTGAGTTTAAAACAATATATGGCTAAGAACAATGCCTGGGGACATTGTACACTCTCCAATACAGACATATTTATACCAATTATACATCAAATTACACTAAATAAGAAGAAAGATAAATTGGATCAAAGCACAACCATATACAAATAAAAACTTGTAAAGATTTAAGCAAGAGACAAATAGTGGATGAAGTGTGGCCTCTAAATTCTAGGGGGAAAATCATCATATAATCATAGGTAATTGAAGAAAGATAAGTTACCCACTTTGAGCTAGAACAGCATTTGAAAGAAAAAGAATCACAATGTTTGCAAAGATTATTGACTTCCTTTTTTATGCTTTGTAATATATTCCAAAAGATTGCTGCGTGTTTTATTTCAGTCAAATTGAGAAACAATCCAGAAAGTTAAGAAAAGAAAAGTATTTCTCCTCTGGTTTTAAAAGCAAGAAAATGAATAAAGATTTATTGAGCTAGAAAAACTTACTAGTTAGAGGTAAAAAATAGAACTGAGATTTTCAGAGTCTCTGTATAATGTATTTCAGTGATCTCTGGATGCACAAGGCATTTTTGCATAACAAAGAATTTGTTCACTTATGTACAGCTAAAAGAACATTGCTGTTTTTAGTAAGTCTTTTTTTATTAATAACAGTGATGTACCTTTCAGGTGTTTCCAGCCACAATAATACACAATTTCAGAAATCTTCTGGTTCATGCTCCATATATTCTGCCACAATATTCACCAGGACAAGATAATATAAACCTTTTGTCAGCCCCATCAAAGCATTCACTTCTATTAATTTTAAGGCCAAACATTTACTGCAGAGAAAAGTATGATACATTGAACAACATAGTTTTACTTAGTAAAAATATTTTTTTTAATGAAAAATATATCCCAACTGTTTTGTCTTGGGATTGCATTAGAAAAATATGAGGTCATTATACTGTGTATTATGACCTCAGGCTCTGAGCCTTAAAATACAAAAAAAATATATTTATTTTAAAATATAGTTTTTATATTTCAAACATTCAAATCAAATTCCACAGAAATTAATGACAAATAAAAGAAAAACCATGAGAAAAACAACTGCTTTTTGGTGTCTCATCATGACCTTTCAATACCTGCTGTAGATTGCCTGTGGGTTCCACTTTTAATTTAAAAGATAATAATTTTTCCATACAATTTGGAT